GGGTTTCGTCGCTTGGCAACGACGTTGTAAAATAAGCCAATTCACTTCGTGAACTCGGCAACCAGGTTACCGGTTTCTTTTTTACCTACGGTATTTTTTTTTTGGCGGTAACCATAATGGTGGTCGAGTAGATCATGTTGTGCGGGGTGGAGAACCCTCACTCCGCGCAAGGGGGATGATCGCACCACGTTGTGTTAAAATGGTCAAGCACCCTCGAGGCAGTTACAAAGTGCTTACAACTGTCTCTGGAAGTGAAAGCACCAGAAAATAAATTAAGTCATACGCAGCTGTTATCCGTACGCAAGGAAGTAAGCACAAGATGCCGAACACCCTTGGCAGGATGCAGCGCACCCTTCATGCGGCTCGCCGAATATCTCACGGCGCTTCGCGCTTGGTGGTGTGAGAGCCTGCAAGCACGTCGATTTACGGCGCGACGGGTTTTGGGATAGCGGCATCACCACCGGACTGTAGTGTACTATGTCGCAACACATGAGGTTTGGGATCATGCATCCCGGCAAAAAAATCAAAACTCGGTCCGTACTATACAACCAGCAGGAGTGACTGCTGTCGGTGGAACAATTGTTAGCAACGCCAAAGACACGAGTGTGGGATAAAGGACGGGGAAAATGTGGTGTGGTGGGCGTGTGTGTGCCGCGAAGAGAAAACATTGGTTTGCTGGCAAATCTCCCACGCGAAACCTCTGGGGTGTGGCGGTGTTGGCGAGCCTAGCCTCCATTTTCTGTTTTCGAGCCCCGGTGGTGTTGGGAACAGATGCCAGCATCAAAGCCCGCAAGGCTCAAGCCATTCTCGACAGCAGGAGGCTCTTGCGGTTGCAGATAGATGCGGAAAGAAGACAAGCCGAAAACGAACAGACTCGTATTTTCGATGTCGGCGTCGCATCGTCCACCCATCGACCGTCTCTCTCAACAGCGGCACGCTGCCCAAAACCTCAAAAAAAAAAAAGTGCTCACTGGAAGGTGCAGAGCCTGCCGCTGGCAGGGTCGTAGTGCAATGTCCAAAGCTTGACCCCAAAGTACGCCATCGCCAAGACCGTCACCTGCAGGGTTGGTTTCGTTTTGGTTGGGGCAGGCGTAATTAAATGCGGTAGAGTGAAGCAACACAAAAGCGTCAACGCCTGTCATGCCGGCAGCGACGTTTCGGGAGGGAAGGGGGGGCGAAATGGACGATATCAACGTACCACCTGCAAAGGACAACTAGCTAGCTGTTCAAGTACATCACACGCGTAGTCCTGCAAGGTAGACGGGAGACACCCAACAGCTGGCCCAAAATCTCTCGCGCTAGAACCACGTCTTGATGCGCCCCTGCAACCAACCGGTGGATATCACAACCCCAGTGGGCGAAAATAAGCTTTTGAGGTGGCCAGAATGCGTGCAGACACACCGCACCAACACCAAGCCTGCTTCACCGGAAAAGCGCGAGAGAGGGAGAGAACGATGACCCAACATAAGGCCACCGCCGCACGCACCAGCTTCAAGAAGGTCGTCGACGTCATTACGCCGCACCCCTGTACCGGTGGCTCTATGCCCCTCGCCGTTGAGGGGGCCCCCGCCCTGCTGCCGCTGCTGGTGCGACCGTCCCACTCATCCCCTACGAGTACCGGTCCGCCGCGGGCTTGCTGCCCTCGCCATTGCTCTTGTCCGGCCCCAACCCCCTCACCGCGACTACTCCTGCGGCTGTGGCTGTGGCTGTGGCTGTGGCTGTGGCTGCGGCTGCGGCTGCGGCTGTGGCTGTGGCTGCGGCTGCGGCTGTGGCTGTGGCTGCGGCTGTGCCCTCCTGGTCGAAGGCATTGCTCCTGTCCGGCCCCAATCTCCTCTCCCCGACTGCTGCTGCTGCGGCTACGGCTGTGGCTGCGGCTGTGCCCTCCTGGCGAGCGCCATCGCTCCTGTCCCTCCCCAGTGTCCTCGCCGCGACTGCTGCCGCTGCGGCTGCGCCTGTGCCCTACTGGTGGTAGGCATTGCTCCTGTCCGGCCCCAACCTCATCGCCGCGACTCCTCCTGCTGTAGCTACGGCTGCGGCGGCGGTGATGAGCGGCCGGCTTCGTCGCGGACCTCGAGGAGGCCAAACTACCGCCGCCATCGTCGTCGCTGCATACCCGCTCCGCCTGACCACGACCTTCCCCGATGGCGGCGAGTGCTTCGCCGCGCGGTCGGCGCCCCCGTTCGGCGCTGCCGTGGCTGCTACTACTAGTGCCAACGCCCCCGGGCTGTAGAATGCCGTTGCCTCTTGTGCCGGGTCGACGCCGCCTCCGTCCGCTATCGTCGTTGCTCGTGGCGACCTCTGCGTTGGAGTCGCCACCGCCGTTGGGCTGCTGTAGGAACAGGGGGTTCTGCATCTCGAAACCTTTGTCGCTGCCCATCGACATCGCGGCGAACCTCCAGCAGGTTAATTGACGGCGGATTTGACACCACGCGGCAGAAGGAAGGAGGGAAGGAAGGGGATAATCATCAGGCGCGGAACCAATCGTTATCGCTGCCGTCAATCTTGTCGGACGTGCCGAGGGGGGGTCGGATGCCGTTCCGTGCATGGATGAAGAGGGACTGGCGCCCCCCTGTTCATTATCGTTATTGGGCCGACTTCGAAGTACGTCACCACGTCGAGTACAGGTTGATTGTGTTGCCTGGTATAGGATCCTCGGCGGAGCTGTGTTGTGGCCAACGGATCTCGATTTTGTCCACTACGTGTCGCTCGAAGATGGCCCCCAAAAAAAACAGCAATCACACACGAAACACGTGAGGCCAGTCGGGGAAGTGTTTGGCAGCAACCCATTCCTGGATTGTTTCCAACAGCTTATCGCCAAGTTTACAATTGTGCCCCCACGCACCTTCCTCTCAAACGAAGACAACAAACGAATTCCATTGGTCCATATTCAACACAAAAACAGGCGACACGACCGATAGCTCAAGAAAGGTCTTGTGTGCGTTGCGGAATCCCGATCGGAGCACACATTCGTGTAGAGGACATCATGGAGCAGCGGCAAGCGCATTTGCCCCGCCCATATTTGTTGCTGAGACCGTGCTGTCAAGGGTGAAACTACAGTCCGAGAAAGTGTGCAAATCCTAATCTTGGCCCGAACCGTTCGCGGCCCACCGCTGACGCGCTGTCACAGCTACAAACAGCACCAACCCCCTCAGTAAGCTACTACGCTGTTGACCAGTACTTCTAGGGAAATGGGTCTGCTGCCGTGACGGCGCGCACAACAACAGCGGAGTACTCCATGGTACATAGGTACACGAAGAAAACGGCGCTTTGTCGGAGTCCGAACATTAATATGATACTTCATCACTTCAGCGGACCGAGTGGCGCGGCATATGCAGGAAAAAACACTTTCATTGACTAACCCCCACCCCCCTCCTTCACTGCACCATTGCACCAACTCCCTACGAGCGATGACGTTCCTTTGGTGGCCCTTCCGTCTTGTGTGTTTTGTCTGTTTGTCGCTACGGTGGGGGTTCTGGCTTGCTTGTTAGTTGCTATGCCCCACTAAGGCATGGTCGGGATGTAGCGTGACGTGCGCCATACGTTGAGATCGGCTTTTGAGACACGGTCGGGCAAAGGGTAGGGGAATCGGTAGAAGAGGGTCGGCGACAAAATAAACTTAGGTCGTAGAGCTTCAGAATATCTAATATCGTTTCTTATATTTCCTTTCCAGATGGCCGTCCCTCGTTTCTTTTGTGAAGTACCAGGGCATTACATACTTGCACTACCCTTCAGGCCTGTGGTAATGACTTCCAGTCGATGTTTACCTCGCATAGCGTGTACTAGGCAGAGGCGGGCGGAGGGTCTAGGCATCTACTGCCGGAGGCTGCAGCGTAGGCTATCTGTCGCCGATTCTACTGACTTGCGAACCCTTCGGGTCCATTATTATTTTAGTATACGTGCATGCGGAAAAATATTCGATGCACCCAAGGGCACGCACATAAGCCAAGCACCCAAAACTTGGCAGTCCCACCTATACAGGCCTGCACCAACACCGTTTGCCACCCAAGAGCGACCTAGCCCTACTCCAAAGCCCACCAACCTAGCACCTAGCCACGTCAGGACCAACCTCACACCTATCCAGGCAATATCAACCTAGATTTACCCCATCAACGCCAATCTAGAACCTATCCAAGCTGTAACGACCTAGTTTTCCCGTCAGCACCAACCTGGCGCCAAGCCTGGCACACCGACCTAGAACTGAGCCACCCAGCGCCAACCTAATACCTATCTGGTTGGTTTGGGGTTAGTCTAGGGTTTAATAGGGTTAGCGTTAGGGCTTTTAGTTTTTAGCTGTTTTCGTGCCCCTGCCAGAGCAAACCATCTACAGCAGTAGTGCTAGATATTCTTTGATTGGAAAACGAACCATAGCCTAACGGTCGCTGGTTGTAGGGACACACTTACTGGAACCGGTCGCCCCGGAGGTCTAGTGGGTAACCTTGGAGCCTGCTAAGGGCCAGGTCATGGATTCGAGTCCCGGCAGAGTGAGTTTTTTTTCTCTAAATATATCCTGGTCTGGGATGGAAGCGACGCGCTGCAAAGCTCGTTGTAGTAAGTAAACCAGAATCGACTTCGTGAGTCGCGAGGCAAGGGATTGCTGTACCCTTCTCGCGATAGGAATACCTCAGGCAGGAACCGCAGGAGGGGGTCCAGCCCCCCCCTCCTATGTGACCCCGGTTGGGTCGTCTAGCTAGTAGAAGCGGAGGATAGGGGCCAGAGGGGCAGACGACAGAATCCGATGATGGGAGAAAAAAACAAAAAAACAAAACAAAAAAAACTACAACATGAAATGGCGTAGGTCAAGAGTTCGAGCATTTTGCCCGTTTATTTGGCTGCAGGTATGCAAATAGTGTTTTCGGTCTGTCGAGGGCATGGATTTTTGTTGTTGTTGTTGTTGCCTTCACATACAAAAACCTTTCCGGTCTCCGCTCAGTACCTTTTAATGTCCATACTGATCCAACTGACACAAACGACTTCCATTGTCGAAAGCCAACTGCCCCCAAAGGGAAGGTCCACCTAAAAAAAATAGACCTCAGAAGAAATCTCAAGGCGCGATTTATGCATGACTTATTATGGCTGCATAATACTTTTGGCCGTGGTCACCGGTCTCTGTGACCAGTGACCACGGGAATTGACCGCGACAATCAATGCATATGGTATTTAGGCAACAAGTAGGATACGCATAATAGTACGGACGGATGAAGGTACTGGGTAGAGACATCGGAACAATGCAAGTACAACATCAACATCATCCGAAGGCGATCGATGTGCTGCTGTACATCGACTTTCTTCACATCGTGTACAGCATGCACTACTGCTGTAGTACAGGACAACTTTATAGATGGATGCCGCGGAAACCATTGGTACGCAACCTGCCTGTACTGCTGTGTACCTGTTGCTTCACATCAGATGCATCTCATCAACCTGCTATGGCGCTATGGCAGTGTTACAGATGCACTTCGAGTAAAAACGTTCTCAATCAAAGCCATCGCCTTCAGTCATGCTGCGGTACAATCACTTACGATAGTCCTGGGTGATCTCTAGACTAGTGCATGAGGGCCGGTCTGTTTACAGCAGATACAGGCGTGTAGTACATATACCTTACACGAAACCCACTCTCACCCCCGGTTTGCGCCCAGCTTTCATGTATTCTGACCTACCTACAGACAGAAGACCAGAGGCATCACCTAATTGCAAGGATTGGAGACTTTGTCGGCATAGCGATTGAGACCACATTTTCTAGGGACAACGGCTATGCCGGGTTATGGCTTGTGTGCATAGATGCGTTGCTGCACCATCAACCATGGATTCAAGAAACACAAAAAACGCACGGCGCTTTGTCGTACAACACATCGATGGGTGGCTAGGTAGGCGCCCCACCTGACGGCTTCGTGTGTTGGGGAGAGAGAGCAGAGGGGATGGCGGAGCAGAGAGAGAGAGAGAGAGAGAGAGAGAGAGACATACACACACACAGAACACACACAGAACACACACAATAAAAAGGAGGCACCTTTTCTCCTCCAGCTCCCTGCCTCCGCTCCCGATAACACGAACACACTCACCTTTTTTTGGGCGGTCGATGCTAACGATACACACCTGTTGAGACAGGAGGAAGAGAAGAGGAAGACGCTCCGCACTCGTAGGCTTGACGGATCACTGCAGACCTCAACGCCACCCCGCACCCCGCGAAGGCGGTCGACCGGAGGTAGACTACTGTAGTTGTTGCCCACAGATGACAGCAAACTGGCCACACAACAGCAGCAGTGTGTGACAGGTTTTGTGGCCGTAGGTGTACCCTTACATTCCGAAAATTAGCCGCCAACAGAAAGCTGCGGTGGAATAGAATCTCAATCTTGCCGGCTTGACGAGGTGACCAGCCACGTTCATGTAGGTTGGGGAGACTGTTGGAGCCGTCAGCCTTGGCCAATCACAACATCGCACAAGATAGTACCAGGTGTACCTGGACCAGGCATGACGGATCGCAATGACATGATGATTTACATCGCGTCGTTACGGATCCAACGGCCAACACTGCTGTGACACTTTGTGACCGCGGTGAGCGGCGTTGCGTGACTGCTTATATGCATGCGCAATACGCCGTGGATGAAACGTCGGCTTCCACACAGTTAGGAGCGATGGCGGGGGGCGTGGAATACCGGGGCGGGCAGGAGAGCGACTGGGTGTCTCGTCTAGGAGAGGACCTCGTGGCCTTCAACATGGGAGACGAAAAGGAAGGGGTGATATGGAAAGAGAGCGCCAAGGACCCGGAGGTATGGTACAACAAGGTCGAGGACGGGACGGCATGGTTCATGAGAAAATGGCACAGGCAGGAGGCGGAAGCGTCTGCGAAGCGCCAGCGCCCCAGGGAAGCAGAAGCCGAGAATACGGTCATCTCAGGACCGAAGAGAAAGCGAGCCGGGGAAGCGGCGGTGGGGGGGAAGAAACGGCGACCGGGCACTGCTGTAGAAGCGAGTAGGGCGGCCGAGGCAGCACTTGTGGTGAACTATGTACCCGGCTGATGTTGTTGCGCCCTGTTTCCCTCCCTGCTGTGTGCTATACTTCTTTATGCTATACTCCTTTATGTATGTCCTTTGTATTGCCTTCGGTCTCTGCTGTGTTTCTATTTGACCTCCCTCCCTATTCTGCTGTGTTGGGTACCTATATCTCGCTTTGCTGTTGCCTTTGTTTTTGTACGTCTGGCTGTCTGCCCATCTGCCGCCTCTTTGTCCTGTTTGCTCCGTTACTCCCATGCCCCGGTGCGTAGTGCCTGGTGCTGGTACGTTACCCTTTGGTTTTTTCTTTGGGCGGGTGTGGGAAGCGTCCTCCTTTATTGTTGTTTTTGTTTTATTTTGATCGGTGTCCGAGGGCTCTTTTCTCGAACGGTCGGTGCGATACCTGTTCTTTTTTTTCGATCATTTTGTTTTTTTTTGCGAGTGGTTTGTACCCTATTTTTGTTTTGTTTCCCCGCGGCGTCTTATGTGCCGTGTTTTGAGACCACGGGCTCCCCATCTTTAGTGGACTATAGAGCTAATGTCAGAACAACAACAACAACAACAACAACAACAACAACAACAACAACAACAAACAACTGTTATGGAGTGTGGCTGCTAGCATGAATAGGGTACATCTTATTGTTGATAGCATGCGGGTCTGTCAGGAGGTATACCAATCTGACCCCTACCCCCTTAGAATTGTTTACTCTGTGTACCCTCTGAGATGAAGTTGGATCCCCGCTTCATCTCAAACCCTTGCTGATCGTGTCTCAGCAATAACAAGCAACTTTCCCATCTCAACGTGGTCGTGGACAAGCGTGTCAATGACAGAACCTTCATCTATCTCTAGGAGCACGCTACCGCCCACGGCATCACTCCTTCAAACTTGGCGTCAGCTGGCATTACACGGTAAGCGGGTGCTGGACGCGGCTTCCACACTGCTGTGTGTTNTCACTCCTTGAAACTTGGCGTCAGCTGGCATTACACGGTAAGCGGGTGCTGGACGCGGCTTCCACACTGCTGTGTGTTGTTGCCACGCTTTTTTCGCAACCACCGGGTTGCTTGTTATTTGGTCTCACCACCCACGAGAATCTAGACTTAGCCTCTTCTCTGCTTCCTCTCCTGTAGAGATGGTGGCTTGTGATGCTTTTGCGAAGCGCCCGCGGGACTGGGGCCTTGCAAAGGATACACGCGTCGGAGGCCATCACGATGTTGTAGGTGATTTTTCGTACGTTCGCCGTCCCTCGAAAGCTATCTTGTCTGCATCAGCGGTCCATGACGTGATTTCTCTGCATGGAGCGTCCTGAGTTGCTGGCTTTGTGTAGTGGGACCCGAGATGACAGCATGCTTCCCACGTCTGGTACCACCTCTACTGCATTCATGCCGGCGTACCGGCCGATGTCCGCGGATTTTCCTGTTGTGCTCTCCGATTTGACTCCGCTTGCATCGACTTGGAACGCGATATGTGCACACAAATTGGGTGTCAGCCGCCCCACCAGCCTTCCCTCCATTTTTCGAAATCACATGGCACTTTTTTTCGGGGAATCGTTCACCCTCAAAGCATTTGAATTGGAAACCTTTCAACAGCGCAAACCCACAGCGGTCTTTGCTCANTGTGCACACAAATTGGGTGTCAGCCGCCCCACCAGCCTTCCCTCCATTTCGAAATCACATGGCACTTTGTTCGGGCNCATGCTTCCCACGTCTGCTACCACCTCTACTGCATTCATGCCGGCGTACCAGCCGATGTCCGCGGATTTTTCTGTTGTGCTCTCCGATTTGACTCCGCTTGCATCGACTTGGAACGCGATGTGTGCACACAAATTGGGTGTCAGCCGCCCCACCAGCCTTGCCTCCATTTTTCGAAATCACATGGCACTTTTTTTTGGGGAATCGTTCACCCTCAAAGCATTTGAATTGGAAACCTTTCAACAGCGCAAACCCACAGCGGTCTTTGCTCGCACTTCGGCACCAGTTGCGGAGGAACGCCGTGCTGCTCTGCGTGTCTTTTGGTCGGAAAACCTCGTGTCTCCATGTAACACGGACCCTATTGTGCTAGCTTCTACTGCTGTTTGTGCGTGGCATGGTGTGCTTTTGGACGCTTTTTCTGCTTGGTTGGATCCGCTTCAACCTCGTGCGCACCAAGCTTTTATCACTGGGCGTATGCTATCCTGTGGATATCTCCGCCTTTCGCATGGACCTCGGCTTGCTTTTCCCGAAGTTGCACCCGACTTTACTGCTTCTGCTGCTCTTGCTGCTGCTGCCTCAACGCGGTTGGTTATCCTACATCTACTGTTTCTGGCCCTGCTGCCCTTCCAAAATCGATCGTGGCTACCCTCTCTCTGGCCCTGTTCTTGTTGACAAAGAGGACACCATGTCCAGCGGCAATGTGGAACTCCTGGGCGACAATGTGGAAATCCTGGATTACGAACCCGAGGGCGAGGTTCCCACCGCAGAGCAGTTTCCAGCGGCCGGTGCTGGAGACGAGAGCCCCCCCATGCCCATTGTGTTTCCGTCGATAATTTGCTGGACAACATCGCCACAGCAGATCCGGCGGAACTGGAGCGGGCCTACAACACCGGACGTGTCTCTCTGGAGGATATCGTAGAAGCGGCCCATCTGTCGTCCGATTCCCCCCTTTTCGTTCCTCCTTTCTCGCTCCCGCCGGAAGACAGATTAATCCTCTTGCCCCACGACGAGTTTATGGCGTACCAAAGGTTGAACGAGATGTGGTGCGACGGTCTTGCCGGGAAGATAGCAGAGGCGGAGGCGCGAGAGCAGGCGAAGCGCGAGGACGCGGAGCGCTTGGCGGAACGTGAGGCTGCTCTGGCTGCTGCGGCAAGGAAGCAGGAGGAGGAACGTGAGGCTGTTCTGGCTGCTGCGGCGAGGAAGCAGGAGGAGGAGCGTGCGGCTGTTCTGACGGAGCGTGAGGCGTATCTCCAAGCGGCTAGGGCGAAGAAGGGGGCGCTCCGATCGCGGCTGGAGGAGCTGGAGCCCCGCCACCAGGACCCGCGAGCAGCCCCCCACCCCCGTCGCCGTGTTATCGCCCCCCCTCCCACGCAATCCCAGGTGCCCCTTGGTTCCCATCGTACCGCCTCGCCGCACGAGAAGGAGCGGGAGGTGGCGGCTTCTCCGACGAACGAGAAGGAGCGGGAGAGGACAACGACTCTGGAGTTTTCGGTGACGTTGGGTCTTCCGGCCGGTGCTGAAGGCGGAGCATCGTTTGCGGCCGCAATCACGGTGTACGAGTTCCACGTTGGAGATACAGCGTTCCTATCCCGCCCGCTGGAGTTGCCTGCAGAAGATGTAACGTTCCAAGATGAGGACAAATCGGCAGCTCGTTATACATGGGCTGGCATAAAACAACTCGTCCGTGCACAATTTCCCCAACCGCACACCGTTGCTTTCGGACACATTCACCATACCCCATACATCGCGAAACTTCCGCCTTCTTCGCGGCAGTCCATGTTCCAGCTTTTGTTCGCTCTCCGTCGTGCCACCTTTAATAGAGGTCCTCAAGGAATGTCGGTGGTGACACAAGATGGAGGGCTCCAGCTGCCTCTTGCTCGTGCTGCCTCGAACAACGACTTCAAGCACGATCTGCAAGCCCCCCGGCAGGCCTCTCCACGCCCTGCACATGGTTCTGGAGGGGACACGGACTACAGTTGGTCGGCGGCCCCTGTGTCCAAGAGCTGGAAGAACCGTTGGGGTGACCAAGATTCGACGGCCAAGAGCGGGACGGACGACCACCGCCGCTCCACCCAGTCTTCGCGAGGGCGCGGCGTCGGGGATAACAGGCGAGGGCGAGCCGTGGGGAGCCAGCCTACCAGGTCTTCGCCAGCGAGTCGCCATCGCCGGAGCAGGAGTCGGAGCGCAGAACGTCAACAGCGCACCAATCCTTCGTCTAGGCGTGGGCGCAGCCGGAGCGGAGGCCGTCGTGGGAGAAACACGCCTCCGTCTAGGCGTAGCCGCAGCCGGAGCCAAAACCGGAGCGGGGGCAACAGCAGGGCGACCAGCACTGACAGAAGTCGCGGCGGAAAAGGGGGACGGAGGTCAGGTCACGGTAACAGGCAAGTGATGTATGATCGAGGTGATTTTCGTAGCTCTGGGTTGTTGGGGGAAAGCAAGGATGCTTCAGAAGACGGTTCTCTCTGTTCTTCAACGCTTGTTTTACGCCCTCCCGCTGATGTAGACCAACCGACCAGGTCTTCCTTGGCTTCCAAACTTGCCAACATGCAACTTCGTGAACGTTCAGCCGCTGTGAAAAGCCATGCCCCTGCCCATGCCGTTATGGATCATCCCACATCTTCCTTGCCTTTGGACGAACGTGTTTGAGTCGNCAGCCGGAGCCAAAACCGGAGCGGGGGCAACAGCAGGGCGACCAGCACTGACAGAAGTCGCGGCGGAAAAGGGGNCGTCGAGCCACCGGGTCAAGCGGCATCACCGTTGCCACAGGACGATGCTGGTTTGCCTTTGTCTTCCACAGGAGCGAGAGCGAGGCACGAGGCTCTGGACGCTTCGGACGCCGCTGCAACGGAGGCCAACACCATCCGCATTCAAGACAAGATGGACAAGCTGAAGCCGGAACAACTTGAACACCTCTTTTGGGCACACATTTCGAGCCTCGAGCCGTCTCCCGGGCGCCGTTAGGACCTGTGGCTTTGCAGGACGTGGGACGAATGGATGAATGAATGGATGGATGGATGGATGGATAGACAAGATGTAATTTTCGAAGCAGTCTCCCGAGTGTTGATGAACTCCAGCACCAAGGGGTCGGAAGTAGATGCCATCAAGCAGGCGGAAGGGGCTGCTGAGCAGCCTGCTCACACGTGTTAAAATACTTGAAGGCAATATCTCCAGGAGGAATGAAAGCCAGACGTGCTGGATACGGACCTCTAGACTAGTGCGGTAGGCCAAGAGGAGGAGCCCACGAATAGAGTTTGCACCCAGGAGGAGCAGATGAGGCAGCAGGAATGCGTGGTGGTGTTGGGTCTTCTTCTGGTGCTGCATCGAATGCGGGACACTTTTGTCGCCCAACCTCTTGCACAGGGGCTGGGAGTCCGTTGCCTTTAATGCTGTAGTAGTCTAGACACGTGTTGGCGTACTTTTATCCCGCGGAAGTGTTTTTTCCAGCTGACTGCAACTGGGCGCCATCCTATATTGTACTGGGTGCCGATCAGAGCGATCCGAGGTATCTAGACTAGTCTAGTCTAGATGATATTGTTTGTTTGTGTCTCATTTATTCTGGCGCACAGTAAGTCACACAGGGACTTGTTTCCTTTTCTGTTCGCCGCATCTTACCTCCTACTGCGGTACTTGCCTTTTGAGTCTGTGGTAGTTTTTACCGCGAGAATCTCTCGTCGACCATCATGGCCAAGGTTGAGTACTACAAACGAAAATGATTGTATAACGCTTTAGCCTAATGGTAGGCAGAGAAACCCTCCGTAGAGAGAATCGAACCACAACCTGCTACTATCAGATTGGCGACGCGTTAACCATTCGCCAACATGGCGACCGGTGAAACACGCACACACGGGCGCGCGGCCATATGCTGCAATCAAAGATACTCCGTAGTAAACATATTTCCGACGCCAAATATGTTGTTGTACTATGTAGCTAGGGCTGCGTTCATGGCCCACGTGTTGGGAACATGCCACCCACAATCGCCCCCACTGTTCTTGACAATCATTCAACCTCATTGTCGTCTGTAGATGCAAATATATCTATCGGGGAGGCTTTGGGCGGTCATGCCAAACACTCAACTCCCTTATCGCCACATGACACATCTTATGCCAGATGCAAACAACTATGCTACGGGGGGACAGCAATCGACCACTACCTGTTGAGGCTGACTCTCTTGGTAGCTTGGCCCCCACTTGCCCTGAGGTAAACACGAATCGGACACCGAATCACGTCGACCACGATCATTGTTCCGAAAAAACAGAAAACTAAAACTACGTTCGACCTGCTGCATGTCCCAGGTCTTGGGTGCGAGTAGTACAAAACAGCACTTGGTCTGGTTGACTGGGTAAAAAAAAAAGTGTGGCTATAGACTATCCCATTGATGACTACATATACAACCACCTTCTGTTTTTTCGAAGAACGACTCTCCGTAAAACCAACCCATTTAAAACCGATCACCACCCTACTTGGCGTGTGCCGCGGTCACAGCAGGGTTCCTGATGCTTATCAAGGGTTTGGTGATATTCGTGCAGGCGCGGTGGGTACAGAACCCCGTATTGCTTGGCTAGCCGCTCCTAATCGCTACTTAGACTAGTCTATTTTGCTCCGCAAGCGTTCCAAGCAGCAACGTACGTACGTTTCACGACCCTGTGCAGCACTACAAGCTGCAGCGTCGGGCGCGACTAGCAGGCGTGGGGAGCACTCGGTTGAGTCCATGCAACAGCGCACTGGTGGAGACTGGCTGTCCATGGGCCTCACAACGCTGTCACCACAGTCACAACAGCAGCACTGATGGAGTGGTAGACACTTGTCACCGCCGCGGTACGATCACCAGCGATTGTAGGACCCGCATCAGTCGGAGAGTTGACGACGCCTTAAACTCCCGCCGTCGCGGGGGAACCAACAAACAGACTCTCCGCACCTGCGCCAGTCGCCGTGTTGGTTCTGGCCGCCGTCGAAGGCGGGTTGTTTGGCGTGGCATTGACTTGATTCTGGATGACTCGCATTACCTGCGACAGAATGCCGCCCGATTCCGCGGCAACGGGGCTCCCGATTACCTTGCCTTCTTCGGACACACGTAAGGTTACCGTTAGCATGGTCTTGCTTCGAAGGTGCTCCACGGCCTCCATTCGAATTCTCGTGCCGTCGTTCTCGTCGTTGGACTCCGTGACGATGATGACCACCGCCTTTCGGCTCGATCGGAAACCGGTTCCCACTCGCGGAACTTCAATCCAGTGGCTATGGCCCGAGGGTATAGTCACCATCTGGGGGACCAGGGCCGCAGGGTTGACGTTCTGACGGACGTCCCCGCTGAATTCGAAATTCGCTTGGAAGCGCTCTTCCCCTGCCCCCGCCTTAACAGACTTCAGGGCGGCGCTCCACTGGGACATCCGCATGGCGTAGATGTGGATGTTCACGCCCCCGGGGGTATTGTTGTGGATGAGGCTCTGGTGCCGCTTTCTTTGCGCCCAGGGGATTGTCTGTGTGTGGTATTGCTCAGGACCGAAGACGAGCGGTTTCGTCTTGAAGAGTCCCCAACGGCTGAAGTGCCGGATATGGGCTCTGACGTAAACCTTGCCTTGGTTATCCTGGACGATCTGCAGCGGAATCGAACTCTCGGGGTCCCTGACCCATCTCTCGGAGCGAGAGTCCTTGATAAGGATCTGAGTTATAGTTTGGCAGGGGGGGGCAGGGGGCAGCAGGAAACCAGGAAACACACGTGAATAGGGGCGTTCTAGCTTTGAGACCTGACTGTCTCAAGGGGGAAATCGGAAACACATGACGTCGCTGTTGAAAACAGTCTTTGCTACGACATCCTCTGCCAAGTTCATGTCGGGCAGTCTACAAAAGCCACCCCAGCATCCACACCACATCTCGACTACGCTCTCGACGACACCAGCATATCCTGGGTGCTCACCATCTCCAACAACGTCTGCCCCCAGGGGGAAACGTTCTTCCTCCCTGGAGATGATGACTAGCTCACCTCGTACTGAATTCTGCCGTGGGAGTCAATAATGCGGTCGCCGTGGCTATCCTCGTCGACGAGGTAGTCCAACACCAAGGGCGCGTCAAACCGGCGCTCGCATGGGAGGCATTCTACCTCCAAGACCCCCTGCAGTTTTCCGCCCTCCAAACTCACGGTCTGGGACAATTCGCCCACTCTGACCGGGCCTGAGGCCTGCTGGTCGGGCAAGAGCCGCACCGGCACGCTGTCGGGCTGGACCCAAAGTCGGAAGCCGTGTTTCTCGGAGTGGAAACATGTCAGCCCCATCCCCGGTTTGATGCCATCCTGCCCCACAATCGTTTCCCAGTCGCGTTCTTCCTCTCCCAGTGACGACGCCTGGTGGTGAAAGTCGACGGGTCGCGTGTTGTTTACGGGTGGGAGGACCGATGTACTTGATAACAGATCATTGTTTTCGTGGCATGGAAACATAAGACGACGAGGGGAAACCTTTTTGGTGAACTAAACAAGCGTTCGTGCTGCGGGTTAGAGAGACCGCATGCAGCGTTGGACTGGGCCCGTGAAGGTTATTCCTCAGCGGCAGCAACAGTTTGGATGTTTTCCAGAGCGGAACGAAAGAACGGGCTTACATCGTCGTCGGAATGGACGTTGGAGCCCCCGGCAGAGAGCCCGGAAGGCGGCGAGAGATGCGAGGTACCGGCGGACCCTGGCTTTGAAGTGGCGGGGTGGAGCTTGAAGGAGCGAACTCTCGCGGCTGGATCAGTTCCTCTAGAAAGCTGTTCATTCGAGCAAAGATTGGCCGAAGAGAGGGGACGAGAGAAAATACAAATGGCCGACGGCATATTGCAGTATGAACGTGCATGTCTATAAGGGGTACGAAGTAAGGGTTGGCAGAGCCACCATACTGACGGGGGTCAAGTGGTGCGCCAGATCGTGCTTTGGGCGTACTCAAGCGGACGTCACGGTTCATTCATGGATACCGGCACACAACGTGATTCCGACCGATGATCCGAAACGATGACCTGGGCGGCCCGCATGCACGGGGTCTCTTAAGTAATTACGAATACGTATACTAACACGAATGCGACACTGTATGCTCGCAAGGATCACCGCACCGCGCGTCGAAGCCTTCTGCTCAGGGGCGATGCCGCCGCCTGTGAGACGTCTCTGTTGTAGTCGCCAGACGACGTCGATGCTGGTGTCAAGCCTTCCTCGAACGGCGCTCCTGCTGTCGCAACACGATGCGAAAATGAAGAATGCAGACGTGCCAACGATGGGCCGGGGTTTAGCGTGCGTCGAGGCAATGCTCAATTCGTTAGGAGCAAAAACGCTGGCCCTTTTTCCAGCCAGCTCGAGTGCGGCAGAGTTCTTCCTGTAGGGTCGACCCTCGCCTAGAAAGTATGGTAGCGACGACGCGTAGGCGTTCCTTACGCCATCCGTTCCCTCCCAGTTCCTTGGATTCTGCTCAGAGTCCGTCGTCTTCCCATGACACACGCTGCTGCCAAACTCAAGGAAGGAACACGCTGCTGATGGTGTCGTGTCTAACGCGCTATTTGGTACAGGCACTCCCTCGCGAACCCACGGCCTACAGCAGTCGAGGATGCCAACCCTCTAGGCCACGTGAATGTTCGCGGTAACCGCCTCCATCGACTGTCCTGTATTTCCATGATGCAACTCCCCATTCGTCAGACGAACGTCTGAACTTGAGGAGAACACCCCGTGCAGTGCTATCAAGCAGGAAACCGAAAAAATTGAAGAAAAGTACTCGTGGGCGAGGCTCCTTTCCTCGGTGTGTTTTGACACATCTTTGCGCTGTTAGGTGTGCGCCCTTGAGACATAAACGAACCACGAACACTTTTGTGAAGCTCACGCATGAAAGCACGACACCAAACCCGAACGTCGACACCGAGGGCTCTAGAAGAACAAGCAAGAGGGGGTCTTTGCGGTTGATGCATCTCCTTTTGTTTTGGGATGTGCGTCGTTTCAAAACGTCTTGGGGATCGTACTAAGAAGCCGAAATCAAATCATTAGTCTCGTCAGCGCTGACTAGTCCAATGGTTTGATCTCGGCTTCTATAATACTCATGCATTCTGGATACGCTTGGTTGAAAACACGGGCTGGGCTGTGGACCGCCAACACCAACCTGAATGCTTGGTGAGTTTTGCGGCACGATACGGATTTTTGCGTCGCGCCTTCGTGAAGGAATCTTGCGATAGAGCATGTTCTACGTCTGGCGGCAGGAACACCAACGTCGTGCGCAATTTGAGTGACGCAAAGGCTCCTAGTACATGCCAAGCAGAATATCATATGGCTCCCACCCACAACCAACGCCGAATCATTTAGCTATGTGCATTGAGCATCAACAACGTGCCCCATGTGTGGCTTGCGCCAAGCGGACTCTCATTCCCAAGAACAGTTCAAAGACCTCTTTCACAGTAGTCTAGAGTGGGAGTTTAGGCTGGGGTTTAGGCTGTTTTCGTCATCCAGCGAGTAGGCGCACGTGGGCATGTAGCCTAGAACATGGGAAGGACATACAGAACGGGCCCGCAATTAAGAAAAATATATGTTGAGAAAAAGGAACTCAGCTTTTCACGAAAAATAAGAAAACAGGGAAAACAAACTCATTGCAATCTCGCCCACAACAACATAAGAAACGTCCCAATAAGAAACATGATCGGGCAATACCCCCCAGATATAAGAAACAAGGGGTTGCTGGGGGAATCGAATGAGAAACTTCCCACTGATAATGATGCTGCTGCCATGCTCCAACCCCCTTCGTAGCTCATGAAATACTTATTGGTAGGGGGGGGGGGGGGGGG